TTGTATTCTTTTTGAAAAAGAAAAACCATCAGAATTCATCAAGTTTATATTGGCAAAATTACTATTTGTTGTTTAATTTAAGCTTTTATATAGTTAAAATCTTTTAAAAGTTAACTCATAAAAAATTTAAAATACTCATTTAATGTCTTTCAGCCTTTTTGAGATTAAAATAAAGAACATAACTTCAAAGTTAAAATTAGACAATCAAAATTACAAATGTTTTTTTTAGGTTGACTGAAATTTCTTTAAATATATTTTTGAATTGTTTTATTCTTACATGAAGTTAAAACACCAGTAGATGTCATTTTTTTTATATCAAGCTATTCATGAAAAGTTTCTTTTTGTATTCTTAAATATATTTCCATTTCAGAATAAAATATTTATTTCATGTTTTTAAACCATAAAATTATTTTTACAATAACAGAAGGCATCCTTTTATATTTAATATATTCTCATTATTATAAATACAATTCATATTATTGAAAATACTCTAGTATAGACATAATGGTAATAAGTTTGATATTTGCTTGCTGCCCATTATTTTGACCTCATGCCAGACTAAACAAAAATTAGTAAAATATTTACATATAGATATGGAAGTACATATGTAATTAAGGCATAAACTTTTTGCAGTTTTAGTGAATTATTTTATAAAATGTATAACATTCAAAAATTATAATTTACTAATTCAAAATTGAGCAAATCAATTCAACTTGATACGTGTGAAATCTAACCATAATTGGAAAATGTACATTTAAGTAGAAATAAAAAAGGACATTTTGAAAAATAAATTTTATTTCACTGAAAAAAAAATTTTAATGTCATATAAATATGCATTAGGACATGCATATTTATATGACATTAAAATATTTTTCCTGAGATGTTCATGGTAAAATTTTCAAAGGAATTTAGAGAAACAAGTTTTTCAAAAATAAGTGGAAAGAAAAGTAACAAAAATAGAAAAGCCTATCGAACAGGATTTGCTTTTTTTAGTGGATGTAACACAAAAAAAAAGGGTTCACTGAAATTGAATGAAAATTGAAAAGTAATGTCGAGATCAGGAAATAACATATCAAGAAATCTATGTGTTAATCACTTAAAAATAGAAAATAGTTCATTTTTGAGTGTTAGCAATCAAAATAAGGAGGAAATGTAATTATTCTATTATGGTTCATCATAATGTAAATTAAGGTGTAACTGGAAATGGATCTTCCATTCTATGTTATAAAAAGAGTTAAATTTTTAAACAGATTCAATAAAATTCTCAGAGGAAAAATATGTCAAAATAAATTTAAAAAAATAAAAATAAATATCAGTTTTACATTCCCAGAGGATATTTGCATGAGAATTTTTATTGAATTTCTAAAAAATATATTATTTGTATCTTGCTTAAATTCAATTTTTTATCAGAGAATCAGCACTGCTCTATTACTGACTCATTTCTGGTATATTTTTAGACATTGTGCTTTGTTGCTTGAAGAACCTTTTAAAGCCTAAATAATATTATTGATTGTTTTAAAACGATTGCCAATACTTCTTTACCATTCTTAAAGTGGAAATATGTCATGAAAGGTTCTACAGATTAATACAGTTCTAAAACTTGATTTACCATCATATAATTGAGACTAAATCATGTTTGCATTACAAATTCTAATAGACTCCCAAAATGATTGTAATTAAATAATTTGTATGAAGTGGTGATGAAAGATTCAAGGCCTCACTCACTTTTCAAAATTTGAATCATTTTTTATTTGAACCCTTTTTGGTTGTTCTAGGAACGTTTCAGCTCCCACTCCTAAAGTATATTTTTCTCAATTGCAGTAAATGTTATGGAAGAGTTTTGTTTGAAGGCAATTTGAATGTGCATCTAAAACACAAGCTTAACCTGAAAATAGCATAAATGAACTTTAAAACTGAAGATTGTTTCCAGTAGATTTTAACTAAAACAAGTGCATATTTAGGGATCAAAATAAATTGTTGATTTCTATTTTAAAGTACTGAATTTAGTCAAGTATTTATTGGTTACTTTATATTAATGAATTGTTGAAGAAAAAAAAAACAATGAAATTTTTATATTTATTTAACTTTTCAAAAGCTTCAGAACAGACAGTAATTTGTCAGAAAGATAGAGAAATTCAAAGAAAATAAATTTATTTCATTTTATAGTATTATGTGATATAATTTCATTTCCAGAATTATATGACATGATTTCCCTCCTAGAATTATGTGATATAATTTCATTTCTAGTATTATATGACATGATTTTCCTTCTAGAATTATGTATCATAATTTCTTATTTATGCTCTCTGGAAGATGGCTTATTGACAATAAAACTTTAATAAAAAGAAATCAATCTGGCTGATTTCTGAATTTATTAAAAATCCTTTACTTTGATATGTTTTATATTTCTATGGATGCTATTACTTGATTGCTTTTTAAATTCTATCCTTTGCACAAAATATAAATTGAAAGGACAAATTCAACAGGAAATTTTCAATTAGTTAAATTCTGTGAAGTGATTTCTAAGGGTGTCCATTTTCTAGCTAGAAAGGTTATCAGGCATTTAAGTATTTTTATTACATAAAGAATGAAAAGAGATGAATGGATGTAGATAATAGAATCATTTATAAAATTGTTTTCATTAAATTAAGGTTTTATTGGATTGATGTAAAAGTTTTAAGACTATCGTTTTCAAAACATTACAAGTGTAACTGAACTTTATTCATCTTTTATCACAATCTGTATGCCATATACAAATGTTAGAGGAAAACTACAGAAGTTCAGAGAATAAGTTCTCTTGACTTTCAGTTTTTGCTCAACATAGAAAAAAGTCATTTTTGTACAAGATAGTCACTGGCAATATGGCTAAGTCCAAAAGAAACATCAACTCAACTGGAATAGAATTTGTTATGGGAAAATTCCTCATTGTGACTGGTACAATTTCAAAAGGAAATCTTTAGATTATTGGAATCGGCACAAACTGTTACTGTACAATGCCACATTAAGTAATTGGCTTGTTTGAATGATGACTGATACATTGGAAGAGAAAAGAGCTTTTTTTCTGAGAAAGTTGACCAATCATTTTGTGGCATGACAATACTGATCTTTATGTTGATATAATAATCATGAGAATTTCTTACATATTTTTCTGAACTGTCCAAACTTTCAGTTGTTTTAGTTGTTTGTTCCAAAAGGTTAAAATATTGTTTAAATCTTTAAAGCATTTATTGAATCAAAATCAGAATTGTTTTGTCTTTTTTAAGATGGAATAAACATTTTAGCTGAAAAGTGGCATACAGTAATATAAATCCAGGGAAAATACTTTAGTGACTGAATAATGATACTATGTACTTATATGAATAAAATATTTAGACAAAAAAGTGCAAACTTTATATCAGCCAAATAATATGTTTAAAGAAAGAAGTCTTTTGAAATAAAAACATAATCTATGCAAAAGAATTTCTTTTCAGAAAGTAAGTTAAGAAGGGATTCTAGTTAGATAGACCTTTTTATCAAGAGAATCATTATGATGGCAAACAGAGCATAACAATTAGTATCAACTGTTATGTTTTTATTCTCTAGGGGAGGTCAAAAAGTGCACTGATTACTTGTGCTCTGTTAAAGAAGCTCTCAAATGGAACTTTTTTATTTTCCTTAATTGCAAACATTGAAACATATAAATATATATATGCATAAGTTTTCTAGAGACTGAAGCCCACTTAATTTAAGAGAAATATCTCAGCAGGCAAGTTTCAAACATAGAATATCTGGACAGATATAACATATTTAGGAATATTTACATGGCATTATCTTCCCACATTTAGAGCAATTAATATCTTCATGTATATATAAAATCTTTGAGAACCACCTGGTATATTTACCATGAAAAGTATATTTCTTAATATTTGTAGGTGATATATAAATTGATGTAGGATATTTTTAATGTGTATATTTTGAAATTTACATCTTGTTATTAACTAGAAGGCTCAGACATTGTTGTAAGCCTGTTATTTAACTGCAGCAGAGATAGTCTTTCTACAGAATGCATTTCTGTTGTTGAACATTGCATTTTTTTAATCATTTCACAACAAGCAAGGTGATAAAGCCAATATAGCACAAAGGGGTTACTGAGAGTGGAAGAAACTGAGAAAACATAATTGAGGAGAAAGGACAATAAAAAGAATAGAATTAAAGGAGATAGAAGATGGCAATTAAGATTGCATTTAAACTTTTGAAGATTGTAATTAACAGGAAAGCAAGAAACTGAAAGAGATTTCCACAGCTGAGAAGTGCAAGAGAAGAAACTATTACAATACAATTTACAGTTACATTTATAAATTTCAAAAATAAAATGATGAGAGCTAACTGCCAATCTAGCATTGTGCTTAAATTTGCGAAGTCAATGTATCAAAGAGGATAGTTCATCTGAATAATTGTCCTGAAATTGATACAGGGCAGCTGTACTATAGCAGTGAGAAAGTGACTGAAGCTGAGATGCCAGGTCAAGACCGATTACACTGAAAATTCCTCTTTAGATTTTGTCAAGTATCTCTACATAGAAGAAAACTCAAAAATGAGTCAGAGTCTAGAATAACACTAAGTTCATTTTATCAAGAAAATGAATTTAAACTTTTTATTCAACATAGTATCTACTTCTTTCTGAACCATACAAAGTGCATAAAACAAATTTGTAACTTTTTTTTACAGTACATGGGCTGACTACAAACAAATAAGGATAAAAGCCTTGTGTCTAACTAATTTTTTATAAATAATGAGATGAATTTTCAAATGCTTGTGTTGCTCAGTTCCTGTGTCCATGATTTTGATTAAATAATAAAAATATATAAATTTGTTAACTATTTATATTTATATTGTTTAAAATTTAATTAAGGGGAAAGTTTTCATAAATCTTTAAGAGCTTCTCAGATCATTTATTTTTAATCCTAGTGAAATTAATAAATTTCATTCCAATAAAAGAAAAACAAATTGATATTTGTTACCTTGGAGATAAGACATCTGATTCTGAACTTGATCGCTCTTTCATAACTGGTGCTTCTGGCCGCATTGCCAGATGATTAGCCATAGCCATGGAAACTGGTGGTGACATCATTGGATGATTTAATGGCATATATGGAAGTGCTCCAAGAGCATAGGGATGATGAGGATAACCATTTAATATATTTTTCCGATCTCCAGCTGAAAAAAAATTTAAAAGATCTGTCAAGACATTTTATAATTTTAAAACAACTCACCCTGAAGAAAAAAAAATCACTCAAGAGATACAAAATTTGTTTGAATTAAGGTAACTAAGATATTTATAAGATATTTTTAAAGATATCACTTTGATATGTGATCTATGTCAGAAATTCAGGTATGTGGTATTAGATGCAAGTAAATAGAAATTGCAACATACTGATTTTTTCACATTTCAGTTTACATGCCATGTTTTCTTGTAAAATATTGAACAACAACAAAACAATACAAGACAAAAAATTCAAAATTTATTTTAAATAAAATAATTATAATAAATTTGAAAAAAACATCAAATAAAAATTATTGGATACTTTGACAAGAAGAGATTATATATCTAAAATTATGATGACATCAATAGAAAGAAAACTGAACTTAAACTCTCAAAATCGTTTTCACAGTTTTTTTTCATATTTTTCACACCTTATATATGAGAAAGAATGTAGCCAGGTTAAATTCTAATAAAATTGTGAGCTTAAAGTAAGGTGATAAACAAAGGAAGAGGAACAAATTGGATTTTACCAATGTTATGTATGTAAATATGTAGTTCTTGGCTAAATATGTTTTAAAAAAGACTGTTATTTTTTCTTGGAGGCTGGGAAAATGGAAAGAAGTTAACAAATTAAAAACATAACTGATAACATCAATGAAAAAATGTTTTAGAAATTAAATTTGATTCTCTTAGAATGCTTGAAAAAAAAATGAAAAATACAAATTTTGTCATGAAGCATATAATCAAAATTTATTGTCTGTTTACAACAATGTAATATTTATAAGCAAATCATTAAATAAGCAATCAGTTCCTCCTTACCAACACTTTCTTCAAGTCAAATAAGTTTATAAATTTGCAAAAAACTTTCTTTTAAGCATATTTTTGCCAAAAAACTGAATTTTTTGACAAAAAGAAACAAATACATTTTCTTTCTTCTTAGAATTACTCTTCATAACTGAATTTAATTAATTTTGAAAAATAATTTCTTTATTTTATTTGACAAATTTTCCTTTTTTTTAAAATTTGTATTTTATTTTTGAATAGCGAATTGATTTTGTAACAGAAGATTTAGATTTTATGTTATTTTTAGGAGATTGTGCTCCGGCAGGAAAATGCGCACGACAGCTTTTAAGAAAAAAAGAAAAAGAATTGTTTCAAGTAAAACGTTTTCAATTAATGAAAGCTCATAAATAAATTGGTTCTATTCAAAATTTATTCTTTAGTTTTAATTTTATCTAGTCATTAATATTTGATTCAGACAGATTTATATCTTTAAACATCGCAATAAGGCTGAACTGGACAAGCAATTTTGAAATATTGACTTAAATGTGATCAATTATTGATGATTTAGTGAATTGAGAATGAATATTAATCTGTGAATGAAAATTTAGAAAACAACAAATCAGAATCAGAATAAAAAACTCAACGTTCAAATTGCTTAATGAAAGCAATAACCCCAGAAATCTTAGTAGATATTAATTTGCCAAAAAGATCGTAGCTAAAAATTATTTATTATTCCTGGTTGTAGTAGAATTGTTCTAGACAATATGTATCGTTTATCAGTAAGCATTAATAAACTTGGTATTTACCCAAGCTCCTCACAAAATGGGATATGGCGCAAGACCAGTTTAATGTGGGGCTTTCTGAGCGCATACGCTCAGCCACAAGTTCCTTATAGAGCGTGTATACACAGAGTCACATAGCAGTTTACTTTTCCCCGGATAAGACTCTGTCTATAGGCATATCCTCGTCTGAGTTCCTATCCACCCAAAAGCAGAGAGTCAAACAAGCTGAGCTTTAATATACATTATTTATTATTGCTAAAAATACAATAATTGTGGCACAAGGCCAAAAGAGGGTAATGGGATGAGGCTGGTGAAAATTAACTATCCTATACCTAGCTAATCAGATTCATGACCCATCCATACATTACAATTTACTCATTCACCACAAGAATACCGCTGTATTCTGTCTTCAGACAAAATCAAGAATTTCACCCACTAACAGAGGGAAGGATCAAAGACTGACCCAGTTGAGATGAAAAAGGAGGTCAAAAACAAACTGTGGAGGTTGGGAATCTGACTTTGATCATAAGAAATGTGGAAGCAGGGAACAGGCCGACAATGACACTTACTCATATTAACTAGGTACACAAAGAGAGTCTATCATAACCAGAGGAGGGTTCCACAGGAAACCGTCAAGTTGTAACCAAGGGGACTTAAAAAAAGAAAATCAAGGTTAGTCTCGTTTGAACGAACCACCTATTTTCACCCACCTTTCGCTGAAATCTCTCGAGAACAAACGCTTTCTATCAGTTCTGATCTTCATCTTGAGCTGATGCTCAAAGAATCTGATTCTAATAAGGACAGCGTTTGTATCAAAAGATGTTCTCCATCCGCGTCGTCCAAAACACCATTCTTGCCACGGCTAGCAGCGTTAGAAACACCATCCCTTTCACTCCAGAATAAGGAGGTGGCACATTATCGCACGCGTATGCAAGATCAATGAGCACGATTTTTTCGAGGATGATACGAGCTGCGTCAACTCACCGACATAGACCCAAAAGGGGCACACGTAAGTATAATGGTAGAAGGTGCGTGAAGCCGTTTCCTCTAAGCCAAGGTATAACAGTCTTGCAAATATGCCAAACCGCATCTGAAGGGTATGTCATTGAGAGCCCATTCCGCACCAATCGTCAGGTAAGCGAAAACTCAGGGTTGTCGAGGTAATCTGCTGCTGGCGCCCAAGACCAAAAAGTGCGCAGCTTGGCCGCTAGCAAGCCGAGCCGCCCGCAGAGAGGATCTTTCGTGATTCCCTCCACTTATTCCCGATACAAGACTCTCCTAGGCCGTGAAAGGCCTCGGGACTGAGGAATGGCCTTCAAGGTCTCTCGACACTTCCGGAGAAAACTTGTCTGATTCCGGGGCTTACGACGGCGGCAAGTCCTAGAAATGGGAGGAGTGATGGTAAGGCGAGGGAAGATGTCCCTAACATTCCTTTCCAGAATCGAGTCCTCTGTCAACATGCGGCGTAGGAAAGCCAACTTCGAGGCGTGTCGGTGACGCACCAAGTGTGGCATTCCTAGCCCCCCACCTGACACAGATGGTGTGCAGAGATATCTGTTGACATAATGCTTCTGACCACTATACAAGAGGGAGGAGAGCAAGCGCTTGATCGCCTTCTTATGCTCCTTACAGAGAGAAAGTACAGACAACCGGTAAAGGATGAGAGGAAAGACGTAAGAGGCACAGGCCTCAGCCCTACCCTTTAAGGACAACCGCATTCGGAGTCAAGCCCAGACCGACGCCCCGATCTTTGCCTGTACTTTTGACCAATTCTTCTCCAGCTGGAGTCTGGGTTCGAACCACACGCCAAGAATGTGGACGGGTCCGTCAGTCCAACCAAAGTGCCTCAGAAGAGCAACTTCTGTACTACCTCATTGTCGCTGCGTCACGACACGAAAATGGATACGTTATCGGCGTACGTGGAAACTCTGGCTCGAGGTCCCCCAGGGATAGTGATTCTACGTAGAGTCAGAGTGCTCGCCCCGTCTCTCAGCCAGCGAAGAGAGGCTCCAACGCCAAGCGTAAAATAGGGGCATCAGCGGGCAACTCTGAAGAACTGACCGAGAAAGCGCAAAAGCGCGCAACTGTTTTCCGTTCACCTGTAACACAGCACAGAGGAAGCGATACAGTGGCCTAACCCACCTGCAGAAGTCGGGTTTGAATCTGGCGGCCTGCAGGACAGTAGCCAGATACCGATTGTCGACCCTAGCTTTGACTGATCCAAATTGATCAGCGCGGCTTGCTTGTCTTTTACATCCTCTAGGATCGTGTTGATCAGATGCAGGTTGCTCTGAATTGTTCGGTCCTTCACACTACAAGACTACTCAGGTCCCTCCCAACAGAATCTTGGCAACTGACTACAAACGATCCGTTAGGATCTTGGCCAATTTTTTTTTAACTCTGTGTTTAGCAGAGTTATTGACCTGTAATTCATCTAATCCCCACATCATCCTTACTCTTTTTCAGTAGCGATCATACACCTAGAGATCCAATCGGGGATGGATCGATGCCGGAACCAGTTGTTGAAATCGGCATAAATATGTGAGACAGCCTAAAGTACAACTCATAGGGCAGACCATTAAGTCCCAGAGATTTGACACTTTCGACTCTCTTCAATGCCAAGTAGACCGCCGTCTGTGAACCCCGTCTCAGTGCTAGCCGCTTCAGTCTGCGAAAGCCGAGGAAAGTCAGCTAAACGCTTCGTCGCAGAGACCAGGCTCTTGAAATGCCACTATAACGCCTCCCACTACGCCTCTCCTGTGTACCGACCTCTAGAATGTATCGATCGGAACCTGGACGGATCTCTTCCTTGCGCAATTCTGAGCCCATGTTCACAGCTTCGTTAGACATCTTGCGTAACCTATGCCTAACTTCCTCACTTTGATAACGCTCGCTAGTCGCGCGCTGCAGAGCCTGCCTAGCTAAACCTATCTCTAGAGAATCTCCCAGCTTCCGCCCGGGACAGACTATACTTGAAAGACTTCATCTTTTTAGCCTTATTTGGGGCGAACAGTTGGCTATATTCGGTGGTGAAAGACCTAATGCTATCTTTAAGCCTCTCCCGCCACTTATTCCCAATAACCGACTCCACTAGTTTCCGTTGCTGTTGCCGGAACTCCCACCTGTCTGGTAAACACTGATTGAACAGTGTCCAACCATTCTAGACCTAGCATCTAACAGACAAGTCTATGGTCCGAATAGCCTAATCAGAGGAACGTGGGATAATCTAACAGATCTATATCGACATTTCTTACTTACATTCTATAGAGGTAGCTGGCTCCCTGAATTTATGTGTTCAGGATAGATCCATTAATGGTGGGAGCTGGATCACACTACACTGGTCTTCAGTAAATAAAGTCAACTAAGTTTATGTCCATTGTCATCTTACT